CTACTGCTAATGTAACGTCATTGGACAGCTCAACACACTTGGTGGAGAACGCTAACTGCCATTTCCCTTAGCTAACAGATGCCTGATGGCTAGCATCATACCGAGTGATGGAAAAAGGGACAGTTATGCTCTGTTGGTCTACTGGGCAGGAATGACTGTTGCATCTCCAGGAATTGTGACAAATTTGAGCATGTTTTATAAAATGATGCATAAAGTATATCAATGTGTGTTACTGCAGATGTCATAGCATGTATTAGCACTGTTGCTGTTCAGCCCTGCTACAAAACCCAGCATAAACCAGCGTGGCTGGTCGCCACTAAACCCTGCAAAAAGTGTGTTTTAGATGCTGGTACGCTCACCAACCAGCATGACCTTGCAGGGTGACCAGCTAAACCAGCACTAGACCAGCAAAACCAGCACAGCGTGGAATGTATGCTGGTCTGTGCTGTTCTTTTTTCAGCAGGGAGTAACTGAGCAGCCAACTGTCCAGTTCCACCTACTTTTAAAGAGTGCTGTGATTCCTAAATTGTTCACTCCAGTATTTGGTGCAGTGATAGTGACCACCTCTTCATGAGTTTGGCCAGGTAATCTAAAGCAGGGGAATTTTCAGGATATGGGATTCCCAAGGATGGACTAAGAACCACCACTGTAATTCTGAATTCACTACATTTGTGCACGTATACTGCCACCTACTGGACAAAAGGTCTTACACGCTCCTCATTTATTACAGACCTTTTCTTTTAGACTTACTAGCTTTTATGATGGTTAATGTAATCAGTTATTTTCTATCATTTAACATTTTATTCATCTCACTGCTGTACTGTATGTGCTTGTTTTACGTGTGATGATAAAACATACTATTTAAGCTACAGAAAAAGGAATGTGATCAAGCAGCAACTTCAGCAATTCCAAGCAATTTCTCAGGTATCAGTTTTATTCATATGAAGAATGTGCTGTTTATTATGACCATAACATTTAACATGTAAGAAGCTGCTTTTTTTCTTTATACTTTATTATCAGATCCAGCAGCTCTCGCATGTACTGCACCATGTGCACTTGTGATATAATGATCAATGACCTTTCAACCTAAACTAGGACAAAGGGTCCTGGACTCAGTGGCAAACCACGACTTTCACAGCCAGGCCTTCATTTCCGGCCATCAGTGTCAAAACTCTGTCAAAAACAAGGATATTTACCTCTACAATGATGCTGATTTCTGCTAGCACTTCTATGGGATTCTAGTAGTATTTTAGTGCTAAGCTAACAGCAATTCACATTAATTTTTTGGCTGTTTTGTTTTTTGACATTTGAAGCTTGTAATAGACAACGCTTGCAATGTTTAAATAAAAAAGCATCAAGATTCAGTTAAATAAACATGAACTAAACTTGAACTGAACATCATAGCCATTACTTTACCTGCTTTTCCCATTTATATTTTAATTTAGATTTTTTTTAGATAATTTAGATTTTTCTGTAAAGCTGCTTTGTGCCAATGCGTGTTGTAAAAAGTGCTATTTAAATAAACTTTGGCTTGATTTGATGTGTGTCCAAACTCAATATAAATCCTGTACTCATAATGCTATAAAATGCAGTATTTTTGCTTATAAGTAGCTGAAGTTACATAAATAGCATTTTATGCAGCAAGAGCATATGACTTCAGAAAGTCAGGTTCTATAATGCTTTATAGTATGTCTTCATAAGAACATTCAAGACAGTAAAGTTGTAATGCACCATTCTGTACACATAACACTTTTAGTGCAACAAGCAAGTTCCTACTCGCATAGGATTCACACACATGAAACATTTCAGTCCAGATTTAGGCCTCGTCACAGTACTGAGACATAACTAGAGACAATTGTACGTATTGAGGGACAATATTAATAATTTAGACTTTTTCATAACAATGAATTATCTTAATCATAATAAATAAATTAAGTTTTTCACAATAATTAATTGGCGGCACGGTGGCGCAGTGGGTAGCACTGTCGCCTCACAGCAAGAATGGCCTGGGTTCAATTCCCGGCCGGGCGACCAGGGTCATTTCTGTGTGGAGTTTGTCTGTTCTCCCCGTGTCTGTGTGGGTTTCCTCCGGGTACTCCAGTTTCCTCCCACAGTCCAAAAACATGCAGTCAGGCTGATTGGACATGCTAAATTGCCCCTAGGTGTGAATGTGTATGTCTGTCTGTCGGCCCTGCGATGGACTGGCAACCTGTCCAGGGTGTGTCCTGCCTTCTGCCCAATGACAGCTGGGATAGGCTCCAGTGCCCCACCGCGACCCAGAAGGATAAGCGGTTTACATGATGTATGTATGTATGTACAATAATTAATCATTTTAATTAATGAATTATTTCATTACTGTATGTCCTTTTCTCAGTGAGAATGAGCCAGCGATGACACATGACCTCGAGTGTTCTATCGCTTTTATACAACAGTTAAATAAATAAAGTAATAAATTAATAAACTGGGCTGTGAACATGACATTAATGTTAGCAGTTCCTTCCGCTAAATTATAGTTCCTTAACAAGCAGCTTGTTGCTACATCAGAGCAGAGCCGTGTAGAGAGAGCATAACATTATGACCACATTATGTCCTTGTTTCTATGCTCATTGTCCATTTTATCAGCTCCACTTACTGTATAGGTGCACTTTGTAGTTCTACAGTTACAGACTGTAGTCCATCTGTTTCTCTGCATACTTTGTTAGACCCCCTTTTACCCTGTTCTTCAGTGGTCAGGACTGGTTTGGGTGGATCAGACACAGCAGTGCTGCTGGAGTTTTTAAACACCTCAGTGTCACTGCTGGACTGAGAATAGTCCACCAACCAAAAATATCCAGCCAACAGCGTCCTGTGGGCAGCGTCCTGTGACCACTGATGAAGGACTAGAGAATGACCAACACAAACTGTGCAGCATCAGATGAGCTATCGTCTCTGACTTTACGTCTACAATGTGGACTGACAAGGTAGGAGTGTCTAATAGAGTGGACAGTGAGTGGACACAGTGTTTAAAAACTCCAGCATGACTGCTGTGTCTGATCCACTCGTACCAGCACAACACACACTAACACACCACCACCACGTCAGTGTTACTGCAGTGCTGAGAATGATCCACCACCCAAGTAGTACCTGCTCTGTGAGGGTCCATGGGGGTCCTGACCACTGAAGAACAGGGTAATAGACAATGGACAATGAGCGTAGAAACAAGGAGGCGGCCATATAGTATGCCTGATTGGTGTAATTTGGGAAATGTTTCATGCTTACCTGCTAAAGTATTTGCTTTAAACACAAAATACAGCACAAATTTTAGATGGCAGACTCCCTCTTCCATGACCATGTCGACATATCAGGCCCTTGTTTCAGCTGAAAAGAGCGAACACAAACAAAAAATCTCAGGTTTAAGGTCATTCAACATCAGATTACAGTAGTAACCTGACCAAAGCATCAGTGAAATGTTGGATATGGGAGAATTCTAACTCAAACATCAGTCAGTGCGTGAGATGCTGCTGCCTGGTCGTCATGCACATTTCTCATTTGGCCATTTAAAGCAGCAGCAGCATCTTAACGTGACGTCCTGGTGCACACAATGTAAAAATGGAGTAGGGTTGTTCATAGGAAAGCTTCCAAACTGCTGAAAATGTACATGTCAGTTCTTTCTTCAAGCAATCAGCTGAATTACATATGGATTAATGAGCCAAAAGCACATATAAAAAACAAAACAATACAGCACTTGACAAACTACACTGCACAAATATGCATGATGGCCCATTTTCTTTTGAAGTAAAAAGAGTGTCACTAGCGTTTTTATATCGTTCCCTAGGAATTATAAGGTTCTATCTGCGTTCTGAGCAGTTTTGAGACATTTTGCTGGGTCATTCTCCATTTGGGGTGGGAATTCAGTTGGATATATTTAAAAAAAAACCCAATTTCTTTCATCCCAAAACTAAATAATCTTAATATGTCCATTAACATCTCCTATTATCGTATATGCAGAAAGGAGAGCTCAATTCCAAGCATCTTTTACCATCACTGGTGTTGTATGAATACTCCAGTGACATTCTGGTTAAAACTGAGGATTTTGTAAATTGGCTGACTCGTTGGCAGTCAGGTGACCTCGTGCAACTATTTAAAAAATCAGTAATAAAAATGATATTTGACATTATTTTGACAAAATTTTAATTACCCAGCCATTAAAGCACACATCACCAGTGACACATAGAAGTTATAACCTGCCTGATTAACCAAATTACGAATAAATTAATTGAAAATAGTGAGTGAGTGTGGACTCTTCTCATGCCTTGAGCTGCTTCCTCTCTGATGAACCTCGACCCAAAGAAGCAGTTTAATAGAGCTGAAAATACTGTGTTAAAATGTAATGTAAGTGTCCTGATGACACCAGTGACCAAAACCTCTGTGACAAATGATTTTTTAAAAACGAAGTACATATTTTTAAATGTAGTATAACATTAACGATAAACCTCTTAAAAATATTGTTTTATATTAATGGTTTCTCTAATGTTGTGGATATGTGGCGAGTTGTTTTACAGATGCAGCGTGATTATGAAACAGATTAAAAAAAAAGAAAAAGAAAAATCAGAGAAATCATCCACCTAACAGCACTGAGTGTGGCTGAAACACCTGAACTCAATAATTAGGAGGGGTGTCCAACTTTTGGCCATATAGTGAACTAAAGTTTGTACACCACAACAAAAACAGGCTTTCTGCTAGAAAGTTATCTGCACTATTTATCACTAAACCTGTTAGACGTCTATCATGTGTTTGGGCTCTATCTTGCCTACTTCCTCTTTTGGACAGAATCAAGGCTTAAAAAGTTGATATAGAGATGGGCTGTATTGGACTGCTCATCTCAGCACAATTTACCTATAAACTGTAACATGTATAAAGTGTTATAAAGTGGTATAAAGTTAGAGAATCGTGCTGTTACTTCAGTATTATCAGTAACCTGTCACAATAACACCTGCTCTGCCATTTGCAGTGATTCTTACTCTGGATTTTTTCACCTGGGGAAATCCGGACGTCCAGGAATGTTGCAGCTTCCTCAGGTGTGGTAGAAATAAAAACAACACAGCACCCAGTGAGGGAGGAGTCTGGCTCTGAAAAGGGGAAATAAGTCTGTTTAAGTGAGAGAGGTTACAGTGAAGCACAGCACATGAAACATGAACAGCACAGAAACATGAACAGGTTCTACATTCTGCTCAATGTTCTCACGTTTGCAGCAGCTGCTGTAAACACAGGTATGTTCTCAGTCGTTTTACCGTTTAGGATGGATGTGTACAGTTGTTTAAAGTGAGGTCTGAACCTGCATATTCATTCTATTTGTAGTTTAGTTCATTTGCTGTGGGTTTCTTAACAAAAGCAAAGGAATGTTATACTGTGATCTAATACGATCACGTCAGCATAATTTCCCTCTGAAATCACCACAAATTCATAATTAAGTGTATTCTTAAGGTTAATGTTTGTTTGAAAGAATATCATTCATGATACGAAGACTCTATACTTGAACTTTGTTGCTTAGACTATATATGCACTGAAGCCTTTTAGAGCCAGTTCTATAACCCTGGTCAAATGACATGCTTTGTTGATTTTCTAAGTGAACGCTTCCTCTACAGAGAACACACTTTTGCATATGTTAATTAAATATTAAAAATAACATTTAGCTTGTTGAAATCTAAGTCACAATTTATATTTCATGTGTTTTTTTTTTCAGTGTGTTAAACTAAGAAAATAAATAGCAATTGCACACTAATTTACATATTTCAGCTCCATGAAGATGTGTTAATTTAGAAAATCAACTTAGAAAACCAACAAAACTTGTCGTTTGACTTGGGGCGTTCAAACTTGTGCATACGACTGCTAAGGTTCATCAGTCTAACTTGGCGTGTACTGTGTGCACAGCTGTGCCATGTTTCCAGTTGCTTGGTTAATAAAGGCCCCAGTTAATAAGCAGAAACAGAAATAATGTCTCACTGTAACGTTAATAATCACAAGATTCCATCTTTTGTCACCAGTCGTTCGATTTCAGTCTTCATCCTCTAAAGATGCAGCATCAGTGAGCCAGAATTGGTGGTTAGCCAAGTTTAGCTTAGCTAAGTTTAGCCTGTGGTATGAGGATATTAATTAAAAGCACCTTAAGCTAACAGCGCCACACACAAAAGCACAGGTTTACTCGCTCTGAGTCTTTATTTGAGTCTTTATTCTCTAAATGAAGCGGAATGAACCTGCATGCTTGTGAGTACAGCTGTTTAGCTGTTTAGCCTTCTTGCTAGGCTATCACTACCATCTTCTGATGCCTCTTCATGTTCTGAAACATCCAAAACACAAAACCACTGTTTTTGGAGGTGACCAGCCATGCTGGTCTATGCTGTTTATTCTAGCAGAGAAATATTCTCTAAAACAGTCAGAATATGCACGAGTGTTGTCATGGTAAGTGTTAAGGTCAAAGTCAGCAACACACTCAGAAAAAAGGTAGTAAACTGTCACTGGGTCAGTGCCCCTCTTGTCACTGGGGTGGGACCCTCAAGGGTACATCTCAGTACCTTTAGTCAGGGAACATAACTGTACCATAATCCACTGAAATGATATTTTCTAAGTTGTACTGACTCCACACACCCCGTCTCGTCTCCAGGCTTTTTATTTTACTGTTCTGTTTTAAAACATTCGGTTATGAAAAGGTACAAATACAAACTTTTCACCTGGAAAAACTTATTTAAGGTGCACAATTGGACCTTAAATGCACTGTTGTACCTTTGAGGGAACATTACAGTGTTTGTATCTTGATGAACAAAAAATGTACCTGCACAGAACTTTTATTTCTAACAGAGTATGCCTAGCCACTAGCTGCAGTACAGAAGAAGAGGGGATGGAGTGGCCACTGAGTACATATTTGGTATTTTGTGATGTGCTTAAAATTGTACACCAGAACTAATCCATGCTTACTCTGTTTTGCAGGCTCCCACTCTCTTTGTTTTTTATCAACATTCATCATAGGAGAGACGCCCTTCCCTGAGTTTACTGTCCTGACAATGCTGGATGACATCTTAATGACATATTATGACTCAGTTGAAGAGAAGGCAGTCATGAAAGTAGGCCAGCAATTAAATGAAGAGAAGCAAACATTTGCTGATATGATTTTTGGAGCACTGCATGAAGGAATGCGAGATCAAGCCAATTTTCTAAAGAGGCATTTTAATTACACCAACGGTAGGTGACACAGAGTTTTTCCATATTAATAATTTCCTCTGGTAAACTTATCCAGTGGCCATTAATCTCCTCACTCACCATGGCTGGTGAAAACAGTGGTCAAAATAACAAAAGAAGAATATTTTTATATTATATAATTAGAAATATCAGGAAAACCAGGCACAAGGAACCCATTTAGAAATGCACAGAAACACAGATCAGAACTCAGAAAATAGCAAGCCTTCGCAAAGCATAAAATAAACAAAACAGTATACATACACAGGAGACAGTGAGTCCAGAACAAGCCACAGGCGAGTTAGATGATGAGGGGGCGGAGCCAGATGGAGCAGGAGCTAGAGTGAGCCAATACAGGGTGATCCTTATAAAGCTTGCACAGACATGGAATAAAATAGAACAGGAGGCTACATATGCATCTGATTACTTTAAGTACATCAACCTTCTGTTTACAGTCAATGGCCCTTATTCATCACATTCTGTAATGAGCAGTTTATGGATTTGAAGTGTCTCAGCTCAGTCTTTGGTAAGGACTGTCCAGTCAAGTTCAATCTCTATCACAGAGCTTCAGAGCTATTTTAAGGCATCTCAGCTCATGGACCATAGAACAAAGTTTTGGTTGGTGGGGTCAAGCATCAGTAACCTCCCCACAATCCTATTATCACTGTTACCTCTTTAATTTACTTTGATTCAAAGAAACTAGTTATTTTATTTCATAGCAGTCACTCACTGCAGCCTACTGTGCTATCAAGATGATCCACATAAAATGTGCATTTTATTTGCTACCACAATTTCATGATAGTTGGTTGCTGCTTGCAAAGTGCAGCATGAATAGTTAAATTCAAATTATGAGTGCAATATTAAGCCAGTCAACATTTAAATGAAAATCAGTGGAAAAAACAGCAAAACTCCAGCAAAATAACCATGGAGGACCTGGTAGACACCAAAACTGTCCCCATCAGATAAACAGCACTTAAAGCTTTCATCTTAAAGGAGAGGAGAAAATCAAGCTGCTTCAGATCTGAAAACATCCACAGGTGTTTCTGTCCATCCTTCCACTGTGAGAAGACGACTCAGCGCTGTGGGTCTGAAAGGATGTGTAGCTGTCAAGAAGAACCTCACTGAGAAAAGGAGACGGACACATCAAACAAAGAAGCTGATCGATGGACTGACCACCCCAGAGTCCAGACCTCAACATCACTGAATGTGTTTGGGATTGTTTGGATCATAACTTTGGAGGCGAGGAAAAGTGTACCTGCAAAGTTCTTTGAAAAACTGAAAGTGAGCCTCCTGAGAACAATGGAGGCTGTAATAAAGGCAAAAAGTGAAAACAGAAGCACAGAAAAAATATATATTTTTTTGTTGAGGCTTCTGTGAAATTCTCTGTTTTCCATCATTTTTCTTGATGCTGAAAATGAATCATTTGTGCTCAACTTGAGGTGGTCTCTGACTTTTGCACAGTACTGTAGTGTAGTACTTTTGTGAGTTTTATTAAGTATCTTTGTTTTTTTAGGCAACAAAAATGAGTAGAATAATAAATGTAACTTGTGTACAGTGATTGGTTAGTGAAAGTTCTTTGGGTCATATTAAAAACGAAAAAAGACCATTTTTCACATTTTCCTGCTCTACCTAATTCACTGGGTTTACACATCCATTCTGTTATGTTTTAGGTGTTCACGCAGAACAGAGGCTGGATTGCTGTGAGTTACTGAGCCATAACAAGCCAGGAGGAATGAAGATGTTTGACGCTTTCAATGGTCTGAATGGAATGGAGTTGGACTATGATGTACACCATCATGCTCTACACACTGAAACTAAATGGCCAATAGTTTTTGACACTGTAAAGCTGGAATATAACAAAAAACTGTATGCATATTTTCTGCACCCTGTATGCATTGAAGCGTTAGAGACAGCTCTGAAAGAACTGAAGAATCATGTATTCAGAAAAGGTAATTTCACCTCCAGTTTGTCTGACCTGTATGTTTCTCCAATAAGCAATTATCAGGAAAATAGGAACTGCCTGTATGATATGAAGAAAAGTTAAGTTATATTCTCCTTTCTTTGCTGCTAAACCCAGTAAAGCCCAGAGTGAGACTCATGATGAAGCCCCATGCAGACTCTGGAGGAGCTCGTGTGAGCTGCCTGGCCACTGGTTTCTACCCACGCCATGTTAACCTGACGCTGCTGAGGAACGGCCAGCCCGTGTCCGAGCACCTGGTCAGTGGAGGTGAGCTGCTGCCTAATGGAGACGGAACATATCAGATGAGGAAGAGTCTGGAGATCAGTGCAGAGGAGCTCCAACAGAAGAACAACTACACCTGCACAGCCACTCACCTCAGCCTGGACAACAAGCTGGACATTCACTGGGGTATGACATCTTATGTTGTCCAGTTACTAGATATAATATACAATGCTGTTCAAAAGTTTGGAATCACCATTCAGAAGTTTCAAATGGCAGTTTTTAATAATATAAAACCAATTAATGTAATTATTCTATTAATTATTCTGTTCTATTATGTACAACTCTATACTTCATAGTCACAAAAAAATAACATCAAGTATTAAGGTATAATAAAATTAATTTCCAGGATGTCTTCTGTTTGAAAAGCGTTGATCAACTCTCAAGGCAGATAATGTATCAGTTAATTTGAAGTTAAAGACAAAATATTTAAACAGAATATGGCATGTGCAAATGTTTGGCTGCCATTTGAGTTGTAAAGATTCAGAACTTCATTAACTTGTTAGGCCTTAATTAACTTGTTAGAGTTAGTTAAGTACATCAAGAGTTGTCATTAGGAGTATTCAACTAAAGGCAGTTCCTAATAAATTTTCTGACTCTTTAAACCTTCAGCTAACATTTAACAACCATGGGCTCCTCTAAGCAGCTGGCTGAGCATCTGAAAATGAAGCTAGCAGATGCCTTTAAAGCACAGGAAGGCTATAAAATGATTTGAAAGCACTTTTAGCTCGCAATTTCCACTGACCAAAATGTCAGCTACTGTAACTGTAGAAGACAAGTCAAAATCTAGAACACCAATGTTACGATGCCAACACAGACGCTTGCAGATAAAAGGACAAGGCTGAAGTTTACTTGAGGTTTTGGTAATTGTTCAGAGGACGTAGTCAGAACAGGCTAGGCTCAAAGCCAGAGAGCAAGCGAACCAAAACAAATGGGACACCCAGAGAGTAGCCAAAAACCAGTCCAAGTTCAAAAACCAAAGTCTCAGACAATGTCCAGCAAACAAACCAAAAAGGGCAAAGACAAAAAGGACAGGTCAGAAACAGGTCATACACGGAAGAACTTACACAAAGAACACTCAGTACACAACAGAAGGTGTTGGCAATACTTTGCAAATTACTAAACTAAAGGCCGGGCTTTATATAATAACTGACTAATGTTATGTAGTGAAAAACGTGTGACCGCTTAGAATTCTGGTGAGGAGGAACGTTGAAATGAATGTTCATTGGTTGATAGCGATGGGATTAGAGTCACGTGATCTCCCACCGATGCATGGGAGTTGGAGTCCTCTAGACCTTTCATGGACTCAAGTGATCTTATGAGGAAAAAGGAACAGTTGGAGGAGGCGCCCTTGGCAGGAGGCGTGACAACCAAGAAAACTCTCAGATAGAACCGATCAATTGCTGGTCAAAGTAAAACCCAGGATTGGTGGCGCATCATTCTATTGTGAAGAGTTCCTTGCACCACCATCTTCGGCAGAAGAAAACCTTACCTGCGACCTCATCACAAAAGTCAATGTCTGAGGTACACAAAACAAGATCTAGATAAGCCAGAGACAAGTTTGGAAACAAGTTAGAAGTACGATGGAACTCTTTGGCCACAATCACCAAGGGTATGTTTAGTGAAAAAAGGAGCAGCATTTGATGAAAAGAACATCTTGCCAACTGTTAAGCATGGGGGCGGCTCTATTATGGTTTGGTGTTCTGTAGCAGTCAGAGGCACAGGAAATACTGCATAGGTGGAAACAATGGATTCTACTAAATAACAGCAAATCCGGAAAGCAAATGTGACACAACCAGTGTAAACCAAACTGAAGCCAAGAAAAGACTGGTTTCTCCCCTTATTTGATCATCACTGAGAATCTGTGGGTGGATCTTAATCTGTGATAGCAAGACGACCCAAGAATATCTCAAGAATATCTAGAAGCGTTCTGCAAGGAAGGGTGAAAATTTCTAATCAAAACTAGAAAGGCTAGCTTACTACATAGCGACTTACTAAATGGGTGCACTTTGTAGTTCTACAATTACAGTCTGTTACTTCAGTGCTGAGAATGCTTCACCACCCAAACAGTACCTGCTCTGTAAGGGTCCATGGGGGTCCTGACCACTGAAGAACAGGGTAAAAGGGGGCTAACAAAGTATGCAGAGAAACAGATGGACTACAGTCTGTAACTGTAGAACTACAAAGTGCACCTATACAGTAAGTGGAGCTGATAAAATGGACAATGAGCGTAGAAACAAGGACATGTGGTCATAATGTTATGCCTGATTGGTATCTATCTATCTATCTATCTATCTATATATATATATATATATATACTATATATATATATATATATATACACACACACACACACACCTTCTAAACCGCCTTATCCTCCTGGGTCGCAGGGGGACAGACAGACATATACATTCACACTCACACCTAGGGGCAATTTAGCATGTCCAGTTGGCTTGACTGCATGTCTATGGACTGTGGGAGGAAACCCAGTCAGACACGGGGGAGAACATGCAAACTTCACACTGAAATCACCCTGGTCACCCGGCCGGGGAACCAAACTCAGGCCACACACACACACATACACACACACACACACACACACACACACACACACACACACACACACTGCAGACATGCTGCAGTTTGTTTTTCACATATTTTCACATAATGTGCATCAACCACATATCACAATGTTGTTCACAGATTATGATCCAGGTCCACCCACTGCAGTCATAGCTTCCACTGTGCTGCTGGTGATATTAGTGTGTCTGGTCGCACCAATAGCTGTCTTCATTATGTGGAAGAAGAGACATGTAGGTAAGACTGTTAGCAGCTTCTCTGGAAATAAACAGTCACACAACTAGCCGTGCTGAATATCTATTACTTGTTGCTGAATATTGCTATATCTGCTACATAGTTCCTCCTGATCATGCGTAACTCTGTTATTGATTGTTGCCTGTATTTTATTCTTTAGTTTCCCGAACATCATCCCAGAGTGATTACTCTGCTGCATCAAGTGAGTATTTATGTTGTAGGTATACATGGTGAAACCTTTATGCAACTTTAGTTGCTTGAAGCCTACATGAAACTAAAATGCACTTGAGTTGCATTATGTATAGCATCCTGCAATTCATTTGAAACTCAGCTGCAACAGTTGCACCTGCCTCAACTTCGTCAATCAAAATACCAATAACACAGGTGATCATATCAAATGACATCATTTTAAACTGTAGACTTCTCTAGATCAGTGAACAAGAACATAAAGTAGAAGATTGTTTAGTGTGTGGTTGAAAAGGAGACCCATTTTGTCTGTTTACTAAACATTTACAAGAAATTTCTGGAAGCTAACATTACTGTAATCAGCTGTGTTAACTAGCCAGCTAATGCTAATGGTAAATGCTGTACGCAAATTCATTGTCTGAAATTTCGCCCCCGTTCGTTTGCAACAGGGATTAATGAAAAAGTGCGTGAGAGATGTGCGCGAGCAGCATGAACATGACTTGAGAAAAACACTTGTGATAAAAAAATGTTACTTGCATGTGACTTTAGTAACCTTTATGTTACAAAAACAGTCATTAGGGTGAATCTCAAGCAATATCTGAATGCTGTCATATTTGGCAGATAATGTTGCTATGGAAATATAAGATGACCAAAAGCACGTTTGTACTTAAACTTGTTTGACTACATGAAATATCCATATTACATTTTCCGCTATGTTAAGTTGTGCCCTACTCTCCACAGCCACAGAGGAGAAAGAGCTGGAGGAACTGAAGAATTGAAGACATTCGATCTGCTGCAGCCAAATTTTTTTCTCTGGTCTGTGGGTTCTGTGCGGTTTTAGCTTGATTCATTTTTGAGGTTTACAAGAGAGCTCTTTAAATTACTGTATTGGTTGGATGTAGACAAATACATCCTCTCTTTTCACTGTCAAAGAACTTGATTATTGAAATCAAGAACATTTTTAAATAATGCTTGTGAGTATGTTGCCTTGAGGCAACCTTGTGTGACAATGGAAACAAATGATGCAGATCGTTATGAAAAACTGCATTTAAATCTTAATGATAAAAAACTGGAACAAAACTGACACAATTTGTCACAATTTGTTGATCTTTACATACTAATTTTTTGCACACCTACCAATCATTAAAAAAAAAAACAGTTAAAACCATGCTAAATACATAAAAAAAATCAAGCAAAGAACTGGCTTTCATTTTCTAAACAAAACAGATGACATCAGTAAAACATATTGTATGCTGCCTGTAACAGGTAATAGGAGTGGAATTAGCCACTAATATAGCATAAATATTAATACTAAATAAGTTTTTCTAAATAAACAAAAATACTAACATAATTCTAAATAAAAAAAATATTCTATATGAAAAACAAATGATGACTGCAATGTTCTCTCATTTTAATTTCACTTCTATTCCATTGTTACACAGCGCTGCTTCTGGGCAACATTTCAGTAATTTCTCATATTTTTTTATACTGAAAATTTAAAAGTTACTAATAAAAAGATGTAAAGTATTTTTATTAGTAATTTTTAAACTTTCAGTATAAAAAAAATGAGAAATTACTGAAACGGTGCCTAGAAGCAACACTGTGACAGATGTGAATCATATTTTTGAATGGATAAAAAATGCTGAGGGAAGTTGTCCAGAAACATATGTGATCCATACACAAGTGGCACTACACCAGAAAGAGATGTTGAAATGCCCACCAAAAGATATTACAAGATTTCTTATATTTTGGTTCATGGAAACTCTTTCCTTCATTTCATTAACCTTTGTTCTATTAAATATATATCATGTCATTGTAAAGTGAGGAAAACAGTTTTGTTACCCTGAGGCAACACTGTTCAAAAGAGTGTCAATGTTTCTGTGCCAGAATTAGTTGGCAAATTTGTAAAGCTAGGATGAGTGTTTCTAACACTATGACTTGTAAGAGGTCAGTACATAGTGTTGTGGTAGTGGCTACCTTTTCATGAGCTGGGTCAGTTCAGGATGCAAGATTCCCAAGGCTTAGAACCACAGCTGTAATGTAGAGATGTCCACTCTTATCTGCGAAGGGCCAGTGAGGCTGCAGGTTTTCATTCTGACCAAGCAGGAGAACACTTCATATAACAAATCCAGTGTTTTATGACCAACACTAACTGATTAAATCAGTGGAATCGGTTGTGCTTCGGGTTCATTAGAATGAAAACCAGCAGCCACACCGGCCCTTTGTGGATAAGACTGGTGAGGCCTGCTGTAATGGCTCAGAATTCACTTAATCTGTTGCCACCTACTGGACGAAAGGTCTGTCTTACAGTCTCATTATTTATCACATTTTAACACTTTTCCTTTCAGCTTTCTCAGTTTATTTTTGTAACCGAAAAAGAAAAGTGACCAAGGACAAGCGCAAATGAGCGGCTTAATGATTATTGTCCCACATATATAAGCAGTCTTAGGTTTGTCCCATGACTAAAGACATACAAAACAGCCCTTTTGGCCTTCGGGTGATTACTTGGCATTTCCAAGCTTTTGGTTTCTCAGCTTTCAGCGTTATTTATGTGAAAAACATGCTGTTTTCTATGACCACTACATTTTAGAAATTGTATTCTTTGCTCTACATCACTTTCATATCCAGCAGCTCTCATATGCATTGCACCATGTGAGTTTGTAATCCAATGATCACTAACCTTTGAATCCAACTTTTCCAAGAGATATTTATTTCACAGTGTATTCCGGTAGAACAGGGGTCAGTTTGATGAGTTTTCTTTGCAAACAGTCCTGAATTGTTAATTGTCAAGTTTGGTAGGTGTGGTTCATGCAGGGAAATCACCAAACTGTGCTGGACATCAGATTGAAGTTGATATGGTAGAGCATATCATGAACCCAATGGCGGATTATAATCTGCAAACTTTAGTGTAATGTAAATTTGGTTGGCCTAAATGATTGCATGGTGCTCTCGGGTACAGCTGGTCTGTCTGCTCTTGTGGCTAAATGCAATCAAATCCTTACAGCAATGTAAAGCCTTTCCAGAAGAGTCCCCATTGGACAGATAGAGTGAAAGACACATGTAGGGAGCTAATCTCTCAACAGCCTCTTAAAACTTGCAGTGCAGAACAACTTTCAGACAGATAGCATTGCAAGCCTGTTCACCACTCAAGTTCATTCAAGCCAATTTTCTCTTTAGATAAAAATCCACTTAAGGGTTGAAAAGCAGCCTTTCCCAAGTGAAAACCTAACCAATCACCAGTGGTGGACGAAGTACACAAATCATGTACTTGAGTTAAAGTAGAAATACCCAAGGTAAAATATTACTCCAGTAAAAGTAGAAGTTCCTCCCTTTAGACCTCCACTTGAGGAAAAGTACAGAAGTATTTGCCTTCAAATGTACTTAAGTATCAAAAGTAAAAGTACTAAAAGATTAATTATGACTCTAATGTCTTATTATCATTTTTGTAACAAGACTCTGCTTCATTAACTCATTTTAGGTGAAAATACTCCAGTATCACTCTTGTTTCTCCAATATTTTAATAGAGTGTCATTAATTAGTGACGCTGATGTCTATTAAAATTATCATAAGCACAAAACACTGAAGGCAAACAGTTTCCATTAGGTAGAACTGAGTGGCTCTGAAATAACCCTTTGTGAACAAGCAAAGTTTCAGGTTAAGATTTATTTGTAACTTAGTTACAAGTTTAAGTTTAATAAAAACTTGCTTTAAACTCAGGTTCACAAATGTGTTTTCCTTTACTAAACTGCACCTGTAGGTCTCTGTTCATAAACATAAACTAGCCAAAATGAATTTACTATAAAATGAAATAGTGTGGTCCATTTACACAAAGTTTGGTTAGAGTCAGGAGTTTGTTCCATCATTATGTAGGAATAGGTGCTCACTGACATTGAACCGTATGCTTGCACTGGGTCGGAACTGCCAACAGGTCAAAACAAGCTCAAAACAAAGTGCGCGCTGTGCCCTGATTGGTGTTTTTGCTTCGCGCTTCTTTCGTTTTGACATGTTACATTTTTATACACACATAAGCAAAGAGGAACGACAGATTTCTCATAATGTAGTGGAGTAAAAAGTAAGATATTTGACTTTGAACTGTAGTGGAGTGAAAGTAAAAAGTCACCCAAAATGGAAATACTTCAGTAAAGTACAGATACACGAAAAAACTACAGTACATTTACTTCATTACTGTCCACCACTGCCAATCACAGAACTGTAGCATTTGCAAGGTAGTACAAAGAGCCTGACAGTCCAGTTAAATGGTGTTTTTTTTTTTTTGTGGTCTCACTTCCACACTATTGGTCAGACACATGCTTCACTGCATCGGTTTGTCTCATACACCGTCCACACAAAAGCCACCACATTTAACAAAGAAGCAGTTTTGTTCTGAACAGACTACAAGGAAATGCGACTTAGTTCTGGAGCCCGTGTGTCAAACAGAAGACCCACGGGTCAGACACAATCCTATCCGGCCACGAAAGAAATTTTCTGTTAATGTTAGCCTGTTCCACAATGCGCTGCACTACACACAACCACTAAAGACCCTTTAGTGGTTGTGTTTGACACCCCTGTTCTAGTATATTCAGCGACGTAAACCAATGAGCAGTAACAAGCACAGTCATTGTGTGGTGTCCACTGGGTTTGTGTAATTTAAGATTTATGTGTAGATTTCCAAATATACTATATGGCCAAAAGAATGTGGACACCTGACTATCAAACCTATTTATTTAGCTTGTTGGACATCCCATTCCAAAACCTGGATTTGCCCCTCCTTTCGCGGCTATAACAGCCTCCACTCTTCTGAGAAGGCTTTCCGCTTGCGTGCAGCTGCTCAACAATGGAAACCCATTTCATGAAGCTCCCGATGCTCAGTTCTTGCACTGATGTTCTTTCCAGAGGCAGTCTAGAACTTTAAAATCACTGAGCTCCTCAGGACGACTCATTCTGCTGCTAGTGTTTGTTTATGGAGACTGCGAGGCTATGTGCTTGATTATATACACCTGTTAGCAATAAGTGTGCCTGAAACACTTGAACCCAATACTTCAGAGAGATGCCAACTTATTTTTGGGCATATTGTGTCCTGAAAGTTGTGCCACAAACCAAACAACAAGGCCTTCTGCTAGATTGTGATCTGTGCTATTTATTACCAAACCTGTTAGACTTCTGTCTTGTGTTTGGACTAAATGTTGCCAAGTTCCTCTTCAGATCAGAGTCAAGCATTTAAAAGCTGATATAGAGATGGGCTCGGTTTGACTTCAGCTATAAACTGTAACATGTATAAAGTGTTATAAAGTGGTATAAAGTTAGAGAATCGTGCTGTTACTTCAGTATTATCAGTAACCTGTCACAGTAACACCTGCTCTGCTGTTTGCAGCGATTCTTACTCTGGATTTTTTCACCTGGGGAAATCCGGACGTCCAGGAATGTTGCATCTTCCTCATATGTGGTAGAAATAAAAACAACACAGCACCCAGTGAGGGAGGAGTCTGGCTCTGAAAAGGGGAAATAAGTCTGTTTAAGTGAGAGAGGTTACAGTGAAACACAGCACATGGACAGAAACATGAACAGGTTCTACATTCTGCTCAATATTCTCACGTTTGCAGCAGCTGCTGTAAACACAGGTATGTCTTTTTACCATTTAGGGCGATGTCTATATTTGTTTAATATGAGGTCTGAACCTTTTTAGTGTACTGCATATTCATTCTATTTGTAGTTTAGTTCATTTGCTGTGGGTTTCTTAACAAAAGCATGTTATACTGATGTAATACGATCAGGTCAGCATAATTTCCCTCTAAAATCACGACTAATTTATAACTAAGCATATTCCTAAGGCTAATGCTTTGAAAGAATGTCATTTCTGATACGAAGACTCTGTACTCTACACTAACGTTGCTTAGACTATATATGTGCTCAAGCCCTTTTGAGCCAGTTGTATACAGTCGACTGCAAAAGTGTGGATGACCTTGGTCAAATTACATGTATTGTTGATTTTCTAAGTGAACGCTTCCTCTACAAGGTACACACTTCGGCACATGTTAATTAAATATTAAAAATAACATTTAGCTTG